AAATAGAACATATTCACTGCATATTGTGCCTTTTTTGCGTTCTACGTCCATTCGATGCCGGTAGCCCGTTTAGGGCACCTTAATTTTTTTATTTTATTATTCTTTTTAGTAGAGTAAATAGTAAATGTTCTTAACAAGCTCTTAAAAAATTCAAGGATCTTACTCCTTATATGGACATTATTTTCATTTTCCCTAAATCCCTCTCCATTCCCCCCTACCCCCCCCCCCCGACCCTGTGTCACTCCCCCCCCATCCCTGGGCCACTGCCCCCCACCCCCCCAGCAACCTGTGTCACTCCCCTCTCCCCATCCCCAGGCCACTGCCCCTCCCTCCCCTGCATCCTGTCACTCCCCTCCCCTCCGGCTCCTGCCAGTGGGCTCCATGCTGAGCCTTTTGAGGGAGTCAGGGAATGAAGAACAGGGCCAGTGTACTGTCTGTTGTCTGGTTGAGTTCCTACCTAAAGTGTCACAGCAGGTCCTGGAGTAACGTTCAGTGCTGACAGGTCACTGCCTGTGTGGGGTGTGCGTTCTCCCAGGCGGCCTGGGTTTCCTCCCGCAGCCCAGAGAGCACGCTGGGAAGTGTGTGTCTGGAGGTCCCATCCGAGTGGGTGTGGGCGAGGCCCCGCCGTGGAGGGGGCCTGCCGGGCCTTTGCTGGCCGGGGCGGCTGCGGCACCCTGGCCCTCAACTGGAATAAGCGGGTTAAAATAAAGACCTCACTTGTTTTTATTGGCCTTTCTTAAATATGTGGATCACTCATGCTTATTTCAGTGTTTAATATTAGAAGTGTTTGGGTTTTTATTTAGAAGTTTGGTGATGTTTTTGTGACCAGAAATATGTTGCAGGATCCAACTCTTGTTTATATCAATTAGCCGAGGGTAAAACTGGTTTCCGTTTTGCTGAAATACAAGTTCCTAATAACCGATCGATGGTTTTAGGTGAGCACCTACTGTGCGTCACTGTGGGCAGGAGTTTGCCATAAGCTTCCCTTCTGGTGGGGAGGTGAGCTGTATTTTGGCAAGTGAGAGGCTTATTCTGCAAATATTATTTAAGTTCTAATTGGAATATACTTTTTAAAGATTATGTAGAAGTGGCCTGAATGACCTAATGGTTTATTTATTTATTTTGTTCATCCTTACCAGAGACTCTTTCTTTGATTTTTAGAGCATGGAAGGGAGAGGGAGACAGAGGGGTTTATTACACAGTCTAGATATGGGCCGCTATTGGATATATGTATCAAAAAGAGATTTTCTGTGGTTTGCCTTTTCACTCTTTTAATGAGCACAGGTTCGTAATTTTAACTTTAATCCAGTTCACTGTATCCATGTGTTCTCTCATAGCTAGTGCTTCCTGTGTCCTGGTTAAGAACTCTTCCTCTGCCCCATGGTCATGAAAATGTTCTCCCATGTTTCCTTCTGGAAGCCTGTGTGCACCTTAGGTCTGTGATCCATTTCAAGTTAATTTTTTATCAGGAGCGAGTAGAGACCAAGGAGGAATTTTACCCCAACATTAAAACCCAGTTGGCCCAGCACTGCATTGGAAAACAGCAATACACGTTTTGTAGTAGCACCGTCGTAAATTCGGGTCTATAACACATGATCAGGTCCTGGATTGTGTCACTGGTGGTTGGTCTGTGCTTGTAGCAGTGCCAGCGATTCCTGCAGCCTTACGAGAAGTCTGCCGCCTGAGAGTGTGAGCTTCCTCGAGATGCTCCTGGCCATTATTGTGGGTTCTTTGCATTTCGGTCTGACAGTTAGAACCAGCTTGTTCGTTTACACACACCGTCTCCTGAGTTTTATCTTGGAGTCTCTTGAATCTATAGATCAATTTGGGGACAATTGAAATCTCAGTAATATTGAGTCTTGCAGACCATGAAATGTTGTGTCTCTATGTAGCTTATTTTATCTCAGTAATATTTTGCATTTTCAGTGTATAAATTTTGAGATCTTTCGTTAGATTTATTTCTAAACTAGAGGCCCAGTGCACAAAATTCATGTACAGGCAGGGTCCCTGGTGGCTGCTGGCCGGGGCCTTCCATCCGCACTGCCCCTAGTGGTCAGTGTACGTCATAGTGAGCCGGTCGAACTTCCGGTCTCCCGGTCAAACTCCTGAGGGGACACTGTGCATATTAGGCTTTTATATGCATAGAAGATACTGATGTTCTTTGATGCTGTCACATGGTGTGTTTTTACTTCAATTTCCGATTGTTTGTTGCTAGCATACAAAATTACAGTTGACTCTTGTGTACTGACCTCGTACCGAGTAACCTTGATGCTTGCTCAGTGATGGTTGAGTCTGCAGGTGCTCAGGGACTCTGTGCACACACAGTCCCAACCATCTGTACATTTTCTCTCCCCGACTTTATTGCATTTACACTGTGGTATGGTTTTTGTGAGCAGCTGTCACTATCACATTTTTAAATGAGAAAAAGTCCTTTTATGACATCGTGATAAAATAGTGGTTCTTATTTTTGGTTTAATGGCCACATTGGGAAAGTCAGCACCCATATGCTGGTCGCCAGCATTGAAAGCGTTTGGGAGCCTGGGGTTGGTTCGTCGCGCGGTGCTGCTCCTGAGCCTCCATTTGGTCACGGGAAGCTCCCTCAGGCCGGGGAACACTGTGACCCTTTAAGGTCCCTGGTACAGAGGTTTGGCCCGACAGTGGAGCTTTCAGGGGGACACACAGAACTCTGTGTGACACTAGTTCAGTGACGGCGAACCTATGACACACGTGTCAGAGATGACACGTGAACTCATTTTTTTGGCTGATTTTTCTTTGTTAAATGGCATTTAAATATATAAAATAAATATCAAAAATGTAAGTCTTTGTTTTACTGTGGTTGCAAAGATCAAAAAACTTCTATATGTGACACGGCACCAGAGTTAAGTTGGCATGTCAGCATGAGCTCAAAAGGTTCGCCATCACTGCACTGGTTCTTGCTGTCTGTCACGGCCCAGGCTCCCCCCAGCGCAGCCTCCCCAAGGAGCCACGTCTGGCAGGACCAACAACAACGTAAACCAGAGCTCGGAGTTGCCGCTTGCCGGGTAGACGTGTTGCCCTAATGAGTCCTGATTAAGCGTAACCGTGGGAAACAGCAAAGGTTTCTGCCTTGAAACCTTTCGCAGAAACTCATGGGTTTCCGTTGGTGGTGAGCTGTATTTTGGCTCCGGGGTGTGTGGCACAAACAGCCTGTGGCATTGTCTCCCAGGGCCTCTTGCTCCTGGGTCGCAGCAAGCCCAGCAGTCATCGGCCTCATTATAAACACAGAGAGGCTTGTGGCCTTGGCGTGCGGACTGTTTCCTGTTCTCTCTCTGACATCAGAAGTTCAGTCTGGGGCCAAGTGCATCCTCGTGCCTGGAACCGAGGGAAGCAGTGCTGGCTCTGAGGGTGGGAAGGCAGCTCAGTGACCGGGTGGTTCTGCTCCTACCCCTCCCCGTGCAGTACACGGAGGCCTCGGGGTGGGGAGAGGCAGGACACGAGCCCTGGCTGTGCCGGCCCTGATCTCTGCCCGTGTGATCTCCCCGCAGTGGCCAGCCAGAGGCGACACTCCTCCGTGGCCCGGATCCACTCCATGACCATCGAGGCGCCCATCACCAAGGTGAGGAGTTTGTGGCCCGTCTCCACTGAGCAGACCACCCTTGTCCTCCCAGCAGATTGCTTCCCATGAGAACCAGGGGCCCGCACAGTAACAGCGCCCTCCTGGCCATGCAGCCCTCCCTCCGGAGAGAGGACGTGTGGCGGGAACAGCTGACTGGTCTTGGGTTGGCCCTGAGCACCAGGCAGCCTGACTCAGGGTTGCTTTCCTGTTGCTTTGAAGGCTCTGACCCTCGTGTCTCTTCTTCCCATATTGCAGGTGATCAATATCATCAATGCTGCCCAGGAGAACAGTTCCATGCCTGTGTCGGAAGCCTTAGACCGCGTCCTGGAAATTCTGAGAACCTCGGAGCTGTATTCCCCACAGTTCGGGGCGAAGGAAGAGGATCCTCATACCAAGGACCTCATTGGGGGCCTGATGTATGTAAGTGCACTGGCCGGGCTGCGGCGGAGCTGCTGGTCTTGTTTGCCCCGTTACCTGTTCGTGGGCTGCTGCACAGGGCTCGCTGCACGCCTAGGCCACAGCCTCGCCCACCTGCGGCCTCACCCAGGGCTCAGCGTGGAGCAGAGGAGGGCAGACAGTCTGCTGAGCCAGGGCCCCATTTTTGCTTAGTGGTCCTACGAGCAATTTATTTAAATGAATCTTAATTGTTTTAAAGATTTTGAAAACGGGGGCAGAAAAAAAGAAAAATAAATGCTCGATGCTGCACAGAAACAGGACAGGGCCCAGGTTCCCTCCAGACCCCCTGCCCGGGTCTGCGGCTTCACGGGGAGAAGGCCTGGTGCCGTGGGCTCGTGAGGCCCGTCCCGGATAGAGGTCTCCACGGGAAGAACTGTGTGGAAGACAGATCAGTCCGTCACTACCGTCACCTGTGTGTTGGTCAGAAATAAAACTTCCCTTCCCTCCCAGGTCCTGCTTTCTGAGGTCATCTGACACCTTAAACATTGGGCTTTAGCAGGTTCCGGTAGCCGCCTACAGCCCAATGTTATGACATCAGGACTGCAGAGAGACAGCGAGGTTCCATGATGGGAATGTGTGTTGAGACTCATGTCTAACATGGGTCTGGCCTATAGACAGAGGCCCCCCAGCCTGTGGGGAGGCGGACAGTAACACAGCAGGGGGAGGGAGAGAGGCCTGCAGGAAAGGGGGGGGCTGCTATAGGGGCTGGGAGCAGCTCTCACCCAGGCTCTGCTGGGCGGAGTCGGGGTGCTTAGAGGGCCAGGGAGACTCTAGCTTTTTCTAGAGGACACGGAAGCCTGGTGTCCATTAGGGTGAGGAGGGTGGGGTGGGAAAATGGTGGGGAAGAGGGGTGTTGTCCCTAAGAAACCAAGAAACCAAACAGTCTGAGTGCCAGCAGGAACGCCGGGCCTTGGGGCCTCCCTCTCAAGCTGCCCTCGCTGCCCCCTCCCTCCTAGTGCCAGGCGATGGAAGGGAAGGGAGGGCCCCTGGGGGGGGAGGGAGAATCTGCCCTACTGCCTCTGGGAGCATCAAGTAAAGAACAGCTGTGACTTCTCTCTCTCGTTTCCTTGATTTTTATCAGGACGGTTTTCGAAGACTATCTGGTAATGAGTATACTCTCTCAACAAAAAGTACGTTTTCCTTTGTAATTTTTTTGATCATTAACATTACAGTCAAGTTTAAATGATAAAAATTAGTTTTCCCGATGGTTTGTCCTAAAAGCCCCGAAACAAAGCCCTGAGCCAGCACTGTGCCCTCAGGAGTGGTTCACGGGCAGAGCCTGCTAACACTGTCCTCCCAATCACCCCTCCCCAGACCTGCATCAGATTTCGGGCAGCTTACTCGTCTCCGAGTCCCTTCACAATGTCCCACGGCGGATCGCGGAGGCCATGGAAAACGATGACGACTGGGACTTTAACATCTTTGAGCTGGAGACGGCCACTCAGAAGAGGTGAGCCCACCTGGCGCTCAGCGAACAGCTCGCTGCCGAGGGCCGGAGCGGAGAAGCCCTGAGGAGTGGGTTTTGCACAGAGCTGGTCCCTGGTCCCGGGCGGTGGGGGTCCGTGGGGAGCCAGGGAGGAGGCCTGGTCACGACCCCGAGGAGACAGACTCTGGGAAGCGGGAAACGGATCAAGTGCTGACTTCTCCAAATGGCAGGGTTTTTCTGTAAAATCCAGGCCCTGATCCCCCTGTAGTTGGTGATCTCCTGGGATCACAGCCAAGAGCCCCACTCAGAGCCTAGAACTAAAATGACAAATACACCAGCACAACAGGCGGCTGTGTTGGCGACAGGCATGGCGACCGGTGTGCTGGCAGGCGAGGACGCTGGGACTGTGCCTTTACCATTGCACCTGCTGGGAGAGAACTGTTAACCAAGCGGGGGCTGGTTGGCACACAGGAGGGGTGCCCCTCAGGTGGAGGCTCTGGTGTGGGGGCAGGGCAGTCTCAGGGGAGGTGCGCTCCCGTGGGGTCATCAGGAGACAGCGTCAGGTCGCACCCCAATCTGGGTGACCTGTCCCCAGGCAGCCTGCCTGCCTGCCTGTGCTCATTCTCCTTCCGTGGCCCTGACCTGGCAAAAACCGTGGAAAAGAAAACCCCATGGCAGACAGGTCTTTAAGCTCCTGGTTGACGCTCTAGTGACCAGGCTTTCACGTGAAATCAGGCCAAGGCAGGTCGGCTCAGGCCCTGCCAGCCCATTGCCTCTGGGCACTGCCTCAGCAGAACCACATTTTTTGACCTTTGAACCAAAAGCCAGGTCAAGGATTGGCCAGTTGCTCACCCTCTAAGGCAGCGGTTCTCAACCTGTGGGTCGTGACCCCTTTGGGGGTCGAACGACCCTTTCACAGGGGTCGCCTAAGACCATCAGAAAACATATATAATTACATATTGTTTTTGTGATTAATCACTATGCTTTAATGATGTTCAATTTGTAACAATGAAAATACATCCTGCATATCAGATATTTACATTACGACTCATGACAGTAGCAAAATTACAGTTATGAAGTAGCAACAAAAATAATTTTATGGTTGGGGTCACCACAACATGAGGAACTGTATGAAAGGGTCGCGGCGTTAGGAAGGTTGAGAACCACTGCTCCAAGGGGAACCTCGTACACGAGGCCAGCAGAGGGCGTATGACTGTCTGGCTCTTGTGCGGTCACTGAATCCAGGCAGGACACCCAGCGGGTGGCACAGGCACAAAGGAGAACGTGGGGTTCGAGGCGGCACCAGTTTAGCTTGGCTACAAACTTGCTGATTTTGAGGAACCGAGTGTAGCAGGTGTCCGAGCCCCCGCCCAGCTGTGCGGGCTCCCAGGAGGCAGGGCCCCGCTGCCTCGCTGGCTCTGGCGTCTGACTAGGCTTCCATGCTGTGACGGTTTCTCCTTACAGGCCTTTGACTTTTCTTGGCCTCAAAATCTTCACTCGCTTTGGGATCTGTGAATTCTTAAAGTGCTCGGAGACGACGCTGCGGCTGTGGCTGCAGATTATGGAAGCCAACTACCACTCCTCCAACCCCTACCACAACTCCACCCACGCTGCCGACGTGCTGCACGCCACCGCCTACTTCCTCTGCCAGGAGAGGATCAAGGTGCGCCGTGGGCTGTGTCTGCCTCCCCCAGTTCCACGCAGTGTGGCTGCTCAGGAGTGACCCCCGTGTGCGGCCACAGGGGCCCGCGCCGTGACACAGGGAGTCACGGTGTCCGTTCACGTGACCCAGCTGTTCCATGGAAGCAGAGGACGGGCTGGTCCCCAGGGAGAAAGGCAGCACGAACAGGAGGGGCTGTGCACTGGGCTTTCACTCTGAGCCTAGAAGAAAGTACTGCCAACTCAGTGTTGGCTATTGCCGCTTTAGGGCCCTCGCGTGTCCCCCAAAGTCAGGGAGAGGACGAGGGCACGTCTGGCACCTGGGCGTGTTGAGCAGATGTTAGTTCCTCACCCTGCAGGGCGAACCTCAGAGCCGGGTTTTTGTTTTTAAAGAAAGATCATTCCCCAGGCCCGGGTAGAACAGGAGTCCCGAGGGAGCACTGTCATGGACAATACAGAGCAGCATGTAAGACCCCACGTTCTGCTGTAACTTCCTGCTTCTGAACTGCTCTATAGAGAACACGTGCGCATTCAGAACGCTAACTGAAAACACTTCTAACGCGTCAACTAAGATAATTCACATCATGCCATTCAGCCATTCACGCCTCTCCGCTGAGGACACCTGTGTTGGGGCAAGTCCTTAACTTGTGTGAGTGACAGTCGGTAACGTTCCCTAAAAAACATGCACAGATACAACTTTCACAGTCGCGACAGGGAAGCTGGGTTTGCTCAACTAGACGCTTTTCTCAGAAATCGGAGCTACTCTTACCGTAAAGTAACAGGGCAGGAGAGAGCTATGCAGAGTCCTTGCTCTGGGTGCCGTGCGGTTCTAAAAGGTCTCTCCTTTTCAGCAAGCGTTAGACTCAGTGGACGAGGCCGCCGCCCTCATCGCAGCCACCGTCCACGACCTGGACCACCCGGGGAGGACCAACCTCTTCCTGTGCAACGCGGGCAGCGCGCTGGCCGTGCTCTACAACGACTGTGCCGTGTTGGAGAGCCACCACGCGGCCCTGGCCTTCCAGCTGACCGCCAGGGAGGACAGGAGCAACATCTTCAAGAACGTGGAGAGGTGAGGATAACAAGAAAGGGTGTTGGTCCCTCTGTCTCTCTCTCCACACAGCTTTATTGGGGTAAGTTCACACACTATACCAGTGATGGCGAACCTATGACACGCGTGTTCAGAGGGGACATGCGAACTCATTTTTTTGGTTGATTTTTCTTTGTTAAATGGCATTTAAATATATAAAATAAATATCAAAAATATAAATCTTTGTTTTACTATGGTTGCAAATATCAAAAAATTTCTGTATGTGACACAGCACCAGAGTTAAGTTAGGGTTTTTCAAAATGCTGACACGCCGAGCTCAAAAGGTTCACCATCACTGCTCACCCATTTGGAGTGCATGGTGGTCTTTATTCAGAGTAATGCAGCCTGACCACCATCACTTTTAGGACATGTTCATCCTCCTCTCAAAATATCAAACTCAGCTTAGCCGGTTTGGCTTAGTGCACAGAGCAGCGGCCTGTGGACTGAAGGGTCCCGGGTTTGATTCTGGTCAAGGGCACATATCTTGGTTGTAGGCTCCGCCTCGGGCCAAGCCCTGGTCAGGGCTCATGCTGGAGGCAACCAATGGATGTGATTCACATCTCGATGTTTCTCTCTGTCTTTCCCTCTCTCCATTCACCCTAAAAATCAATGGAAAAATATCGAGTGAGGATTAAAATACACAAATGAAAACATCAAACTCATCAGCAGTCACTCCTCACTCACCCAGCCCTCCAGCCCGAGGCCACCACTGACCAGTTCCGTCTCCATAGATTGGCCAGTTCTGGACATTCTAGTGAAGGGGGCATCTTACTGGGTGGGCTTTGTCTCCTTCCACTTAGCGCAGCTCCTTTGCATCCTGACACTTGAAGACAAGGAAGAGGAATGCTGACCTCGGGAGCCTTAGACATTCAGGGCGCCTGTCACCTGCTGGGGACACTCCCTCCGCCCAGCAAGCATCTCCTCGGTCCACACGTCACTTCCATGGCCCCGCACACTCATTACTCGGTCCCAAGTCTCTTTTGTAGCACTTACCACATTTTTCATTATTTGTCTAATGTCTGATTCAATTTTTAAAAAATATATTTATTGATTTTTTACAGAGAGGAAGGGAGAGGGATAGAGAGTAAGAAACATCGATGAGAGAGAAACATCAATTAGCTGCCTCCTGCACACCCCCTACTGGGGATGTGCCCGCAACCAAGGTACATGCCCTTGACTGGAATCGAACCTGGGACCCTTCAGTCCCCAGGCCGATGCTCTATCCACTGAGCCAAACCGGTTAGGGCTGATTCAATTCTTTTTAGAAATTCGTGCACTCGGGGGGTCCCTCAGCCCACCTGCACCCTCTCGCAGTCTGAGAACCCTCGCTCCTTACTGCCCATCTGCTCGCTGCTCCTTAGCAATGCCTTGGAGGCGGGAGAGGCTCCTGCCACCGCCGCTGCACTCGCCCAGCTTCTGGCTGAGCAGTGCTCCCTGTGGGAATGCACTGACCACCAAGGGGCAGCTCCTGTGTTGAGCATCTGCCCCCTGGTGGTCAGTATGCATCATAGCGACCAGTCATTCCGCCATTCGGTTGATTTGCATATTACCCTTTTATTATATAGGATAGGATTTTAGAGAGACATCCATTTGTTGTTCCACTTATTGATGCACTCATTGATTTTTTTTGTATGTGCCCTGACCGGGATCAAACCTGAGCCTTGGCGTATGGGATGACGCTCTAACCAGCTGAGCTCCCAGCAGGGCTGAGCAGATTCCTAAGCTCTGTAAGATCATGGGGCCTTTTGTTCACCACTGGCCCCTTGGTGTCTAACGATAGAGACTGAACATCAGGGAAGAAGGAAAATGTATTCTGTCACGAAGAATACAGGGGTGGGCAAAAGTAAGTTTATTTTTGTATGTCTATTTGTTAATTATTGTATTACTAGAGGCCCGGTGCACGAGATTCGTGCACTGGGGGGGGGGGGGGGGGAGACCCTCAGCCTGGCCTATGCCCTCTCACAGTCAGGAGCCCTCAGGGGATGTCAGACATCCCTCTCGAAGTCGGGCTCTCGCAGTCCAGGACCCCTCACTCCTTACCGCCACCTGCAGCGGAGGCAGGAGAGGCTCCCACCACTGCAGCTGCGCTCGCCAGCCATGAGCCTGGCTTCTGGCTGAGCGGTGCTCCCCCTGTGGGAACACACTGACCACCAGGGGCAGTTCCTGCATTGAGCGTCTGCCCCCATGGTGGTCAGTGTGCATCGTAGCGACCAGTTGTTCCACTGTTTGGTAGATTTGCATATTATGCTTTTATTATATAGGATTTCCCATATGAACAACTATACTTAAAGTATGTGTCCATTTGGGTTTTTGAGGAAAGTTTTAATGTGGGATTTTATAAAAAGGAGACTCCTGATTGTACTAAACTCCCTTTTGCCACGTTCTAGCATTTCAGAGTAGATTTAAAGTAGGTTTTATTCAGAGACACTTGTGTGTGGATATGTACAGATCTGTCACCTCTGGAAAAGTACACAAGGCCCTGATAACTGACCGTTCTCTGCACCTTTCGAGTTTTTAATGGTATGGTTTGCGTCCTCAGAAAATAGAAATTTGAAAGTAATGAGAAGCCAGTGCTGGGAAGAGGCGTGGAGCACTCCCTGGCCGTGCTGAGCCCTCAGGGCTGAGTTTCTGGGCACGAAAGCCGCTGGGTCCTCTGTGGGGCACATTCACAACCACGGGCCCCATGTTCAGCGAGACCGGGCTCTGCTCACCCGGCTGCGTCCCTTCTCTGTTCTGAGAACTGGGTGCCTGACGGGGAGGACAGCGTCGTGGACACTGCATCTGGAAGGTCTTGCCTTAAGATTCTGATTTTAGCTTCTGTTGGGGCGCTCGCCTGTAACCTCCATTCTTCTGAAGTGCGCCTCCCAGTGATGTCAGGACTGTAGCTCCATGGACACACGTGCCAGGTCACATTCCTGTCCGGTCTGGGTGTGATCTCAGCGGCCTCTCGTTTGTCGTCTGAAACAGGAGTGACTACCGGACGCTGCGCCAGGCCATCATCGACATGGTCTTGGCCACAGAGATGACCAGGCACTTCGAGCACATCAATAAGTTTGTCAACAGCGTCGTCAAGCCCTTGGCAGAGCTGGAGGAGAGCGAGGTGAGGGGGACTGGCTGCCACGCCACCTGTGCGGGCTCCTCCGTGTTGTTGGTTCCTGGAGTTTATTCTGTCAGTCCTCACGGTGGATTTAGTGGAGTAGATTTTACAAAAAAGCACCGATTCTTTCCTGGACCCTCTTCCTGTGAGGCCCCCGTCTGCCCACCACCTCACCCTGTGCACTGAAGCCCTTGCTACCAGCTCCCAGCCTTTCCCACCGCAGCCCAGCCCCCACCAGTACCCCGTCTGTGAGGCTAGGACCCCAGTTTACTTCTGCGCTCCTGTGTGTCTCCCTGGCTTTCTGGCTTATTACCCTTCGCACGTCCTGTCGAGGACTCGGCTCCCTTCACCTGGTCTCGCTGTCTGTCAGCCTCTGACTCCCCCCTTCCCAAGGACAAGGGTTCAGACGCCCCTGCCCTGCCCCCAGGACAGAGTTGGTTGTGGCCTGTACCTGCTCCTGCTCCCCGCCTGCCAGAGAGAAGCCACACGCAGTGCCTCGTGCTCACAGTGGGGCCGGGCCAGTGAGGCAGGCGCGGCACCGGGCCCACGCTGATCGCTCTAAACGTCCATGTTCCAGGGGAGTGGGCCAAACCCTCGTGACGTCGACACGATGCTCCGGTCTCCAGAGAACCGGACTCTGATCAAGCGGATGATGATCAAGTGTGCGGACGTGTCCAACCCCTGCCGGCCCTTGGAGCAGTGCATCGAGTGGGCTGCACGCATCTCGGAGGAGTATTTTTCTCAGGTAAGACACTGCCTCTTAAGTGCCTCAATTTCCACTTCCCTGTGGTGGGAGCCGTATCTGTGGGGGTGGCAGTAGATTCGCTCTCACCGGTCACAGCCTCTCAGTTCTGAGAGCACAGCCTACACCCTATTCACTGACCTGTCTCAGCACCGAGGAGCCCGTCCCGCGCCACAGCCCGCGCTGACGGCCTTGAGGGTGCAGCGCTGTAACTCTGTTGAGGACCTGAGACCCTGGACAAGGACACAGGTCGTCAGGACCTACTTTACCGGGTGCTAAGGGCCACTGCCACTTCTCACAGACCTGCGGTCGGTGGGTCCAGCCTGGCCTGCACTTGGGAAATATTTTCAGGGTGTAGCGATGTAAAGCACATCAGTTCAGTGCAGGAGAGCAGAGAGGGTCAGCGGAACAGAAAACATTTCCAAAGTCCAAATAATGTTAAACACCCTCTTTTTTTTTTTTACAGAAAGAAAGGGAGAGGGATAGAGAGTTAGAAACATCGATGAGAGAGAAACATCGATCAGCTGCCTCCTGTACACTCCCCACTGGGGATATGCCCGCAACCAAGGTACATGCCCTTGACTGGAATCGAACCCGGGACCCTTCAGTCTGCAGGCTGATGCTCTATCTGCTGAGCCAAACCAGTTAGGGCTAAACACCCTCTTTTTTATGAACAACACAAAATTCCTTAATCTGACAACTGTTCCAACATGCACCAGCCAAAATCCCGTGGCCGTGCCAGTCCCCGTATTTCTTTCTCTCCCTCTTGATTTTCTGTTCCTACTGATCCTCAGGCCTCCTTTCCCTCCCGTCAGTGGACGTACGGTGATCTCGCCACACCCAGTGGCTAGTTTCTCCTGGATCCTCCCAGTAAATCCCGATCAGCACTGGCAGCTTCCGTGTTCGATGTCTGTCTCTGGCGGCAGGAGGCAGGGAAGGGCTTGTATATAAAATCTGTGTTCTGGGCAGTGATGTGCCAGCCTCTCTCCCTGCTCACCCACAGCAGCGCCCAGTCCTGCTAAGTGCCCTGCACAAGGCACCGTTTTTACCTTACGGAGACGCACAGGTAGCATGGTCTTATGGTCCAACGTGCCACACCGGCTGGCAGCGTAGGTGCGCTCTGTGACGTCCTCCTAAGGACACGTGACTGCACATAAAGGGCTTCACCTCCGAGCTGATGTTTGTTCTGTTTTGCGGCACGTATCTCGGGGTGTTCAGAATCTTTCCAGATAAGATAACGTGGCCGGAGACGAGAACAGCCACCAGACCCCATGCTGTGAGGGCTGTGTCTCACTCGGCGCTGGGACCGTGGCTGCGGGGAGGGTGGCAGCTAGTGGGCGCAGGTGCCATTCGGAATCTTAACTGAGGAGCTTCGGCAGGAGGCTTTCCGGTGCTGAGAATGTGGGTGGGGTGTCCCGAGGCCCTCCTGGCAGAGCTGGCCCCACTCGGGGAACAACTTGGAATCTGGTGGCAGGGGCTCCCCGTCGGCTTCTCACCACTAGCTCCCTGGGCTCTAGGAGTGGAGCAGACACTGAGACTCATAATTCTGGCGTTTTCTGCTCTGCAGACCGAAGAAGAAAAGAAGCTGGACTTACCTGTGGCGATGCCAGCTTTTGACCGAAACACCTGCAGCATCCCCAAGTCCCAGATCTCCTTCATCGACTACTTCGTCACAGACATGTACCACGCGTGGGACGGTAAGGACTCTTAGAGGACTTTCCCCAGATGGCAGGACAGCGCAGCAAGTAGCGAGTGCTGTATTCTGTATGACTCCAGGTCATGCTTGGGGC